TCCTCTCCCATCCAAAATACAAGGACAATGCTGCTCCCTTTCCCAGTCCTCCTGTCACCCTCCTGAAGCATTATGCAATAGTGGCAGACTGTTTTGAAAATGCAGAGTGATTAAGTCAATGCTGACATTTGTTTTCATGTTACACACACGGAAGTTTTTGTTACGTCCAACGTCGTGCTGAGTTAGGACACGCACGCCTTCCTCCGTTCCCCAGCCCAGCTCATCACAATACTTGTAAGAGTCCCTTCCTCTTCCAAGTACACCGGGTGCCCTGTTTCTGGGACTACCTTTAACAGTTTAGCAGCAAGGCCCAAGAAGCTGTAAACAAATATTAAGTGACCGGTGACATCCCTTGCAGTTCTGAGTATGGCCACATGAGCAAAAGGAGAAGAAGGAAAGCTGGACAGAACAAGACAAGACAAGACATCTGAAATCCAGAGGAGGCCATCAAAAAGGCAGTATTATTCTACAGGCACCAGAGCTCTTCACAGCATTTGCAAACAAATAGAGAAATATCTGGTTTAGTGCATCTTTAACTCTGTGTCCTCCACCAAAAAGTGGGACAGCTCCCTAGTCATCCCCTGGCACGAGCCAGGAAAGTCTTTTCTAGCAAGAAGTGCTGGAATGCAAGGAGTCAAGCAATCCAGCTAGCTGCATATTTTCAACACAGCCTATTTGCTAGCAAGCAAAACAGCACGTTTAGCAAGGCAGGCAACTTCTAGGAAGCATCAATTTGTAGCCTAATGGGCTCTGCAAGCTGAAGTATACCCTGCTATGCAAAACCACTTTCAATAAGAGTGAAAAAAAGTAGCATGGCTTCTCCTGGCACCCACGCCGCTTATAACAGACACGTGGACCTGAGCTCACTGTCACACATCAGGCATCCCGCAGAGCTGCAAGTCACGACAGCGTTCAAGACTCACACAAGAATATTTAAAATATTATATATAGCACTCTGCAAATGCTAGTGAGGTTGCCCAGCACTCCAGGGTGGGGGATCATGACAGGGAGACCTGATGTGACCTGCTCAAGATGACAGGCTGCTTACATCTGTGGAAAGGTTCGAACACACTGGGTCCTCAATCCCAGCTGTGGGACAGACCTCTCTCCCTCTTCCTTCTCATACCCCCTCACCCTATTCCAGTGACATGATTTCACATTTGTGTTGCATATCTCATATAAAAAATGCTTGACAAATTTTTATCTACCGTGAATCATAGCTTTCACATCTTCTATGCTTTCTCCTCTTCGGGAGTGTAATGGTGAGAACTTTCAGGACCTACGCCTGGACTTTCCCCTTGGGGGAGGGAAAAAGAAAGGTGTTAAGAAGTTCATTGAACCCGTAAGACTGGAATTTCAAAAGCAAACAAGCTTTCTGCTGCTCCTTAGGCCCCTGTGCGTTATATCAAGGCACTTGCTTACAATCCTCTCATCCCTCACAGCCCAAAAGTACCGTGCGGAAGGATCTGGTTTCAAGAACATCAGTAATTATAGAACAGGACTGTCAGGGGGAGGTGGAGTTTGTAAGAAAAGCTACAATCCTACGTGAGTTACACAGTAGGTCCTGGGTATAACAGACTCATCCAGGCATTTAAATGAAACTTGGGAGAGTGGAGCAAGCTGATATGCTTGCTGCCACAGAGACTTTCAGGCTGACAGGACTACACTAACTACTCTGCAAGAAGGGCTGGGTAATAACAAGAACATCCTGTGCTTCTGCAGAACCTTCCATTCAAGCGTCACGAGAGGCTTGGCTGAAAGCTTATTCACAAACAAGTAAATGACTGGGTAAAGGTGGCAGATTCGGGATCAGAACCCAGTGGCCTCGACTTCCTTCTGTTCCTAACACGCTGACTTCATGAAAACACATGTTGCCTGCGACTTAAAAAAGAAAAAAAAATAGTTATAGGGATATCACAACTCTCAGGATGAGGCCTCATAGTAGCAAACTATAGTGAGAGAGACCTGTAGAACCTCTTATATTGGTTATATGGGCAAACTATTTAACAGTGCCTACTCACCAGCATGACATGAAGATATTAAGAAAGCACGTCAATATTGGTCACAGTAAGGAGAAGGAAACAGCCTTCTAATCTAGACAACTCTCTGAGAAAGTGTTAAAGCCTCAACTCTGTTATATGAGCTAGTTGTATCTATCTTAGGGATCCAAAGACAATATTGCCTTTTTTACTATCTTGGGCCCTAAACAAACATGCATACAGCAAACACCCTTTGGAGAGCAGAGATTCCCTCTGTTTAGAAACAGATGTGATAAGCAGGGTGGTTTTGTTTGACAAAAGTTTCAGCTCTTTTGGCAGCCCTATGCTGCCAAGACTCCTTTGCCAATTAGAAGAGTTTGTGACACCAGCATTGTAGCTCCTGACAGCTTACATTCCTGAGGCATGGTGTGCTTGGATAACATGAAACCCCAGCAGTAGCATGGCAGGTGTGAAGTAGCTCTGTTTTTCCATCTGCAGAAATAACAGGACAAACAGACAGACAGACAAACAACTTGACCAAAGCCACACAGAGCCCCAGTGGCCATGCTGGGCCTGACAAACCCTTCACAGAGGAGAGATCTGGCAGCACACTCTTGAGACAAGGTAGTACATTTGTCAAAAATGAAACAAAGATTTATGGAAAGCTTTTCCACCAGTTTGAGGGCAAAGCTCCAGCAAGCACCACCTACCACCTCAACCACACATTTAAGGAAAATGAACTGGTACATGACATTGAGCTTGCATGGCCTCATGGTGCCCTGTGCTCCTCATGCTTCTGAGCATTTAATTCCCAAAGCCCAAAGGATGGCAAACCAGGAAACACAGGTAACAGATTATGTCCCACTGAACACAGCCATGCTCCTCAACTATCACTACATATGAAACCAGGAAAGAGAAGCTCTGATCTGACACAATAGCAAGAATTATGCGACAGTTCCCGGTATGGACCTCAGCCCTTTCCTTCCCTTTACACAAGCAGTTAACTTCCAGCCCATGTCTAAGTCAGGTTCTCACAAATCAAATGCTTCTCCAGCCATATGGAGAAACTCACATGGCACCTTGCTCTGATGCTCCAATTCCTGCCCTAAACTATCCCTCCCTTAGCTACTGTCAAGTACTCCCCAGCAGGGGCTGGCAACCGCCAATCCACAGGGCCACTGGATCCAGTCTGTGCTGTGGCCGGGCAATGGGAACAAGCAGCAGCAACCAGATCCTACCACCAGCCCACCTCACCCACAACCTGGGTCATTCTGGCCCACAACCAGAAAACACTGCTGCTCAAAAGCAACAGCACTAGAGAAATCTCAGCAATACATGTGTTTATTTTCTAGCAATTTGAAAAGCAGAAGTCGAATAGGAAGGAGCACTGTATCTCAGCGTTACTCTGCAAGCTGCATTCTAGGCTTTCAAGTAACATGAGATTTCCAACCAATCCAACTGGAGCAGTACATTTTGAAGAGCATATTGAAAAAGGGTTCTTTCCTGCCCAGGGCAGGGGATTGGACTCGATGACCTACTGAGGTCCCTTCCGACCCCAACATCTATGAATCTATGAAACATGCTCTTCCAGCCACTCAGTTCTGCTTTGCAACTCATTTCAGGCTCTCAGCAGGGCTGCACAAACCACATATCAATCAGTTCACCAGGAAAAAGTGCACTGAGCTCTCTGACCAAAAGGTCCCAAAATTTGTCCTGCCATAATTTTCAAGATTATTTACTATGTGACAATCAGAGTACTTTGGGAGGGGGGATGGGGAGAAATCAGTTCATAAACAGAAAGTCCAGCTCTTCCTTAGCTATGAAAGCACTATTGCTAATTACTTCTTTTTCTGGAGCAGGTCCTAAATGAATGAAGGGCTCCGCTTATCTCCTTTACTGCTGGTGCTTTGGTCTGGAAAAAACATTTGCAGAGTCCCAAACTGTAATTTAAAAGGCACAGAAGACACATTTCCAATCACGTAACAGCCATAATGTACAAAACGGAGCTTTGTCAACAAGAAAATCCAAGCAATGCCCGAGAAAGGGTATAGCGCTGAACATCAGTAAGCTATTTTGTATAACAATGGCTTTCTGAGCAGCAACGCCTCATGTGGGCTTATTACAAAATCCTCTCCACATGCTGGAGAGATGTTGTTTAGAGGCTCATGTCTCAGCTGCCTGAAGAGAGAGAACAGAACAGACGCACACACTTTAGGACAGCTCACATTTTGTGCTAGCAAACCACGTCCCTGTTCAGCTAAAGTACCTCGAACGTTTGTTGTGGCAAAAATAAATCAACCCCCCCCCGGCCCCAACACAGACAGTGACAATAGTGTTATAAGTTACACAAAATGTTTTGGTTGCTACAGGACTGCGCTATACTTGCAGAACAGCAAAACGAAGGAATTTCACGCGCCAACTCCTAACTCTCTGAATAGAACAACAGCCCTCTGAGTACACATCCTGCAACATCCTAACAAAACCCATTTCATCCCTGTAATGACCCAGTTGGTTTGATTCCACATAAAGGAGGCAGTTACATAAGAACGCATGATGCAGATGCAGCAGTCAGCATAGAGGGAAAAGTGTCAGTCACAATGGTTCAGCTAAGTGCTGTCTGGATCCTAAACCTGCCCATAATCCTAGAAAAGCTGTTAACGTGTAACAAAATAGGAAACAATATTGATTTTAATTGTGCCATTTCTCCTCAAAGTTAATACTCCATTGAGATAAATGGGAACAGGCAACGCCATATCTGTCTAAGCAGTGCAGAGTGCCTTATAACAGCTCACATCCAGGAGATTATGTTCACTGACATAAGAGTAGAAACTGACGCAAAGAAGAAATAAACCTACAGACACCAGAGAAATCCTGGCCTTGCCCTCGCTCCCCCACCCCAAACCCTGCAAAGAGCGAAAAAACACATCCAAAATGCTATAATTCATGGTGTCTTTCCCAGCTCAAAACAAGGTGGGAGAAGTGGCTTTGTAAAGCACATGCATATTGACAGAGAAGAGTTACCTCTTTGCAGCAGCTGTCCCTGTTCACCAGCTGTGGAGATCCACCACGTAGTTACCATGTCAGCACAAAGCACTGAGACTCAAAGGAAGCTGCAAGAGAACACAAAACAATTTTCCACTGCTGTGGTACGGCCGGCTAGTTATGCCACTACAGGAAGTGGGGGAAGATCCAACTACAGCCCTGAGATTTAAATGCCCCGCCTCTCACACTGAAACCATACTCTGGGGCAGCTCCCCCAGTCTCATGGGAGGCAAATATCTGAGAACAGAATGAGCGAACAATTGAAACTGTGCACAGAAAAGGTGACAGCAATCACTGAGTGTAGCCCACCATCAGCAGAAGACATGGGTCTCAAGGGGAACAACAGGTCAGGGATCCCAGATCAGGTTTTATGCTAGGAAGATCCTCATCAGACTTTCACCCTTGACTTATAACAGGTTGAATATATTAGACACCCACAGCAATGCAGAGGTGGCATTAAAGATTCAGTCGCTCATTAGAAGCCCTGAGCACAGCACATGTAGGTTTCTTCAGTCCATGTGATGAGGGAGCGCCCTGCCATTATGGGGCTCTGAATTTAATTAACCTAACTCTTCAACTGATGCTTGACAGCTATTCAGAGCAATCTATTTGTTGAAATTCATAGATTCAGTGGAGAAACAGCTCCTGTTGCCTTACCCAACTACTGCGCAAATAGCCTCATCACACTGGAAAGCACCTCCAATGTTGGAGAGTGGAGCAGCAAGGTAGCAGCTCTGGAGACAATGGCTTAAAAGACTCGGACACAGAGGACACTGCCACTTAGGGGCACAGACTTCAGCAGAATGGCTGGACATCATAATTAAGACATTAAACAAACACACAGGAGTCTTGCATCCCTTAGCAGTACCACGTGGACTTGACTGCCCCACCCACACCATTGAGAAAAGCCTCTTTCCATAGCAGTGCATCTTACAACCTTAAAAGGCTCACAAGCTGGCCGAGTGCCAGCAAATCAGCCAGGAACCACTTGTTTCAGTTACCAAGAGAGGCAAGGCAACAATTTCCCTGTGGGGTCTCAAAGATATCTGTATTTCACATAACACTGTAAGAAATCTGCTGCCATCCAGGACCCCCTGCCTGTCAGTACTGTACACTGCATTACACGGCCACTTGGGATTCAGGTTTTCCTGTGGCAAAAGCGCAGGCTCTGCTCCCCTGAGCCACTGGAGACTCTCCACTAGCTGTCAGCACCCAAGGGTGTTTAACATGCAGTTAAGCAGTGCCAAATGCACCCAGTGGGAGGTGTCAGCATGCACCTGAGCAAATTAATTCCAGTATTTGATACTTCGTCTATACCTTTTGTGCAAGGAGTCTCAGTGGACTTTGCATAGAATAATTAAAATGCACAGTCCCCTCTGTGAGGAGAAAATTATCCTGGTTTTACAGGTGGGAAAAGATGGAAGCAGAGTGATGAAGCGATTAGATGCTGCAGGGCAAAGGACAGAGCCCCCCCGAGTCCCGATTCCTAGCCATCTCTTCCAGTACAAGTCTTCAAAGAACAAGTGGCCTTGCACACAGCACGGTCGGGCTGCAGAATATTCTTCCTTCTAGGATGGAAAACACTTACCCCAAACGCCCTGCCCTCCAAGTTGTTATTGCTTCACAGAAAGACAAATAAGAGCCGCTCATGTGAACGCAAGACAAAAAACACTTCCTTCACCTCTGTTACTAACGCAGCCCATCCCAGCTCCTGAGACAGGACGGTTTCCTGTAGGATTCCTGGTGGCGCTGCCGAGCACGCCAGTCACACCCTTACTGCACACGTCCTGACACCAGCCTCTGCTGCCAAAAGGGAGAGACACCGGTTTGAGAACCCAAACGTAATACCCTGTTCACCTCGCTCTGCACTCAGCAAGATGCCAGAACTTGTCCTATTGCTCGCAGGGGCAAGGCGATACTTGCGCCGGCCCGGCCCGGCCCAGCAGGCCGGGAAGCTCTAAGAACATCTCAGCTGCTCCCTAGAAAGTTTCCCCTCCACCTCCAGGTTGACGCGCTGCCATGGCTAGGGCAGCGCAGCTCGCCGCGCGCACGGTCCTGCCCGGGTCGGAGCAGTCAGCTGAGCAGACAGACCCCCGGAGGATGACATCCTGACTCCAGCGACTGGAAATCGGATGCACAGCCTTTCACAACAGGGGCACGGCTCAAACGTGCGAGAACAGCCAGGAACATCACCTGGGAACGGGCACGGACGGGGCCAGACCCCGGTCCCTCTCGCCCACGCCTGTGTCACGCAGCAGCGGCGGGGAGTGGAGGCTGCAAGGGGCAGGGAACTGGATGGGACCAGGATTTCCCCCTCCCCGCCGCCCCTCTCTCACTTGCAGCCCCCAGCATTCAAGGTCCCGCT